ATTAAGGAATCGGAGAGCCGAGTTCGAATTCCAGTCGAATCTGTTATATTCACTACATGCTAATCATAATCATCTTGCGGCTTCAGCCGAGATTGAACTCACTAATACTTTGATTGGCGTAGTTCATAATCTTGTCAAATAGCCGAATTCTTGATGCTTCGCTAGGGCTATCAAGAGTGTTTTTATCGTGACACCAACACTAAATGGATTGCCAACCAAGGCTCACAGAGACTCCATTCACCCTCCTCTAAGAGCAGGTTTGAATTCAGAGTTTTCCTTCTCCTAGACCAGTTGTCATCCAAGGCTATAGAACCCAGTCTGTCCTGCTATTTACCCATAGGGAGAAGAAAGAGGATTCACACCTTTCCCAAGGGTGTTAGCACGTAGGTGAATATAATGGATTCGACTGGAATTCGAACTCGGCTCTCCGATTCCTCAATCCAAGCCGCTATCCATTTCTCCACCGTGCCTCCCCTAATATGCTAATAACCCTGGGAAAGGTATGAATCCTCGTCTTCTCCCCACCCAGCTATGGGCAAATAGGACATACCAGATTCTATAGCCTTGGATGGCAACTGTTCTACCGAAGAAAGAAATGGCAACCTACTGCGGGAAAAAATCTACCTCGTCAGTCATGTATCGAAAGCTACATGATCGCTTAAGAATGGTACATAACTGAGTGATTATGAAACGTTCCTAGCTTGGTAATGTTGGATTTAACGTTACAATCCAGTATATTTTACCAGGAGATTGATGCTTGTTTTTGGTTTATGTTTTACAACATTTAACTAGCCTATGTGCCTTTTTGGGCAATCAGTGAAATTTTAGAAAATTAAATCTAACGTCTGATTTCAAGTGCTGAAATCTGCACATCGCTTATAGAACAGTTTGTTTTTTAGGAAAAATAACACTTAAATTGAAGAAGCGAGTGAGACAGAGGAAATTCTGTTTTTTTCTGTAGTTTCGAATGTTCACAAAGCCAGGTTAATTATTGCTGCAAAGCGTCGACTAATTCAGTTTTGCAATTTAGTTCTAAGCAGAAGCCAAAATCATGCATGTGAAACTCTAGCTATCCTCGAATCAATACTAAAGCTTCATTCTATCAAGATGAATCATTTTCAGTGCATAATTATTTTAACCTTTGGCTAAGTCCACAACTGAATATGACTTAATCAGCTAGACTTTGACCATGGGTGAATGGGAAACAGAATTTAGGTCCATTTCTCTCACCATTTTGTTACGTGTTTGATTTAGGTGCTTTTTCAGGTGGATTTATCTCCGCGAGGAAATACAATTTCAAAAATATCACTTCAAACGGAGCAATGATTTGTTTCTGCTTTGAAACGGGATAAAGGAAAAAAAAAGATTCGGTTAAGCAATTGTTATGCCGATCGTCTGATAAATGAGGTAAAAAAAAAAAGCCTCACGTCTCTTTTAATAGCATTCCATGCTGACCTGCGAAGATGCAGATACTGAGTAAATAAAATTCTTAAAAAAATATAAAGCACAAAGAAAATGTTGGAAACATATGTTTTGGACATGTCAGATAATGGCGTCCAGTTTATATTTAGATAAACCAGACATAACACGAATCCAAAGTGTCATTTTTAAATAAGGACTCCCCGCAAACATTTTGTATCAAAATATATTTAAAATACAGGATCCCTCGATTAATGCGCATTCGATTACTGTGTTAAAATGTTGATATACCAAAATTCGATTAATGCATACATAACACCCGATTAGTACGGTAAAACTTATTTCAATTTAACCCTAGTAATTGGTAATTGCTATAGTTATCTATTAATTAAGTTTCTAAAATTTAAAAAAAATGGAGAGTATTTTATTTGTCAGGTATTACGTTATCTAAGTAATTATTCAGTCAATTATGTCCTTTCGATAAATGACTGACTACAGTAGGTTGCCATTTCTTTCTGCGGTTGCCATCCAAGGCTATAAAACTCAGTCTGTTCTGCTAGGTGGAGAAGAAGCTGATTGATATCTTTCCCAAGGTTATTAGCACGTAAGTGAATGTAATGGAATCGAGTGGAATTCGAACTCGGCTCTCCGATTCCTCGATCCGTGCCGCTATCCATTAATCCCCCATGCCCCATTGCAATTGCAATTAAACTGTTAAAAAACGGAAGGTTCTGAATAGATTAATTTTGTAAGCCGATAAGAAAAATACATATTTGAATATTTGTCTCTATTAATTTGCTTTATATAATTTCATATTTTCATGTTGTCTTTGAAGGTTTTAAAAGGAACTTTCTGATTTTTTTTTTTAAGCATTTCACCCCAAGCAAGGTGAGAAGCCACTAGGACGCAAGGGGTTACAGAAAATTTATAGCAAGATCAGATAGGAGTGATAGAAGAAAGGATGAGGCTAGTGGATAGATCAAGGCAACTGGAGATGTCGATTGACATTACACTTGAATAGCTGGAGTTTATAGCTCTCAGGGAAACTGGAATAGGGAAGGGAGTTCCACAGGCGAGAGGTGCGAGACATGAAGCTATTAGAGTAGAAGAGACGGCTACATTTTAGGAGTTTCGACAGTGAAGAGGTGAGCAGGATGCCCAGCCTCGTAAGGCGCTGGAACTCATGACGTCTGGGAACCAGCGAATGCAGCTCTTCGGAGCAATTTCCATGAAAGTATTTGTAGAACAGACAGAGGGAGGCGACGGAGCGTCTGTGAGAAAGTGACTGTAGACGAGACGCCAGGGCAGGGCCAACAACATTGCATATCCGCCTCTGGAGCCTATCAAGAACCCCAAGGCAAACAGAAGGGGCTCCAGACGATATATGGCAATACTCCATGCAAAGTATGAATTGTGGATTTGTATATGTGGAGGATCGACTCCGGGAGAAAAACTTCCTAGCGCAACTCAGGGGAGCCAACTTTCCTTGCAGTGGACGAGGCAATTGACTCGATATATTTATTCCATCTCAGGTCAGCAGTCAATGTGAGACCGAGAAGCCGCAGAGAGTTGCTCTCGAGAAGTTGAGCGTCAGACATTCTAATGGAGGGAAGGGAAGGCTCTCTATAGTGATTAATAGAGAGTTTTGTTAAAAAAATGATCGATTTAATTAGAAACAGAAATTTACATTTATTGAAAAATATCGAAATATAAAAGATTTTAATATGGAAAGATTTTTTTTATAAATAGGAGCAGGTAGTTTCCAGCAGTCAACTCTGACAGTGGGACCGAACATTCTTGCTGTAACACTCTCGTTTGTATATGTTTGCATTACCATTTTCTGTTAATATATTTGTTTAACTCAATTACTCGCTTCGGCAGTACATATTCTAAAATTGGAACGATACAGAGATTTGCTTGAAAAAATGATATTACAGCTATACGTTTTTGAAGAAATATCATCAGCTATACGTTTTGGAAAAATAATAGTACCAGCTGTAATTTTATGAAAAATAGTATTACCAGCTGTAAGTTTTGAAAAAATAGTATTACCAGCTATACGTTTTCGGAAAAAATAATATTACCAGCTATACGTTTTTGAAAAAAATAATATTACCAGCTATACATTTTTGAGGAAAAACAAATAATAAAAGAAATAGATTTTTGACAAAACAAAAATATTACCGGGGAAAAAAAATGTTGCCGGCATTAAATGAGGTTGATATGCCGTAAAACAAAATAAACCTTTTCTTGTGTCTTTAATTCTGGTCCTAAGAAGGCCATAACAAAACAAACCAGGAATGTATAATCTGGGTAATTAATGTGAATTACGATACCAAATTATCCTGATGATGCTAAAGAAATTATAAACTTCCCCCGGCGGAACACGTCTTTGACAAAAAAATTCAACCTTTCTCACGTCATTTTCATATATATATATATATATATATATAGAGAGAGAGAGAGAGAGAGAGAGAGTGAGAGAGAGAGACACCTAGTGAGCCAGACAAACCTACCTAGGTTTCACCTAAACGGATCGTCAGGGAAAGTTACTCGTATCGGGTTTTTTTCTTTGGGCTTCAGACCTGCATCTGTGCGATTTTTTGTCGGCAGAAGTTCATGTTTGTAACTCTTTTTTTTTAAAACCTTTTTTTTCCCTCGAAATTGATTTGATTAACAAATCAAAAAATTCGAGGGTTTTCGAAACGAGTCTAGTTATCTATATATATATATATATATATATATATATATATATATATATATATACCAATGATATTTGAACGCAATATTCAAGCCATCTACGCTGCATTTCGACTCGAATATTTTTATATGTTAGTCAATGGGACAATATGGGTTGCCATTTCTATTGTATTATCCTCAGTGTTATCATCTATGTTTACTTTTAAGTTTATATAACTCTGTTGTGACACCAATATCCACTTTTATATTTCCATAAGCTCTATCACTGAGCACTTTTACCTATAAACATTTCATACCTTAAACCATATAATGTTCATATATCTGTGTATGTGTGTATGTGCGTGTGCTTGTGTTTATGTACATATTGACTTCCTGTAAACATAGGAAGAGTTTTTCATTAATGCAAGTTTTATTAAAATACTCAAGCATTCATTGCCATACAGGAGGATTGATATTGCATTTCAGCATATTTTTTATTGGCTTACGGCCACGTCACGTTGGAACACAGGTTCTCCTACGATCATCGGTTCTAAGCAACGTCGAATCGTGTTAGTATCTAGATGGGTGATCGCTTGAAATTACCAAGTGCAGTAGTCTTGGATGAGAGGGTGAGGTAATAATTAACAGCTCGCAATTATTAATCCGATAGACGAGTTCTAATTTTAGTTAAGTTCGTTATGCGCTAATACCCTAATTGTAATGATTCGCTGATACACGTCTTACTAATTAACCCATAGCTGGGGAGGAGAAGAGGAGTATACATAGCTTTTCTAAGGGTATTAGCACATAAGTGAATATAACGAACCCAACTAAAATAGGAACTTGGTTATCCGATTAACAATTGCGAGCCGTTATCAATTACCTCATCCTCACATGCAAGACTACTGCACCTGGTATTTTCATGCGATCACCCATCTAGCTACTGACACGACTCGACGTTGCTTAACTTCAGAAATCGTAGGGGAACCGGTGTTTCAACGTGACGTAGCCGTAAGCCAGTATAAAATATATGCTGAAATGCTATGTAATATCAATCCTCCTATATGACAATGGATGCTTGAGAATTTTCTTGCAGAAGAGCCAGCAACGCAATGCCAAGAATATGACGCAACATGTGAGTATCGAGGAATTTGCAAGGAAACTGATAATGAAAAAGGAACTTCTACTTGGAATATGAACCTAAAAGAGTTCTTGTGATGCTGTGTAATATCTAATTTCCAATATGAGAGCGAATGTTGGACAATTTCCTCACGCTTAAGCAAACCTGAAGTGACAGATATGCTTTTACAAAAGAATTCTGAAAATACGATGATGAGAGCAACGAAAGTTTTGAGGATAATGGAAACGAAACCGAGAACTTGCATTTAGATTTGGTTTGGTTTGTTTTACGGCTTATCGACCTCAATGAGTTATTTAATGCCAACAAGATTTTTATTACTGGTAATATTTATTTTAAAAAAATCTATTGCTGGTAATATTTTTTCCCAAAATGTATTGCTGGTAATATTTTTTGCAAAAATGCATTGTTGGTAATATTTTTTTCAAAAAATGTATTGCTTTACATTATTTACATTATTCGGACTATTGTCCTTTCAACGTTTCGGCCTTTCAGTATCTGTCTATATTTGTAAGATGAGGTATTATGTACACTATTTACATTATTCGGACTATTGTCCTCATCTTTGTCGCCATATTTATCACAACGTTTCGGCCGTTGTACGCTTCAGGCTTCTTCAGGTGGTTGGAATGTCGAACTGAAACCTTTATTTCGCTCACTGGGGTAGACTGTTCTAGTTCCACGTTTAATAGATGTCAGTTATCAGTTATCACCTGTTAATTCCCCTCTGAAAGTTCTCCACTGCCTTAACCATGTATTGAACTCACACTCTTTGGTTCCTGTCACTGGATCTAACCAATGCCTATATCCACTGTGCCATGCGTCCTTTATGTTAAGTATTTCCTCCATCGCACTTCTCTTGTGGGACGCTCTTTTAGCTTCTTGCTTTCCAGTCAACTTTGATCTTCAAAAATCTGAATACAATGTCAATCGTTATCTTCTGTCATTTTTAATTCCCGTTTTTTTCTTGTTCTCTCTCCTTAATAATGTTTTTCTTTTTTTTCTTTTCTTGGATTCTTTTGCACTAAGTAACTATTGTTTGGCTTTATCGCCATGCTTGTGATGAAATCATTAGAAAAAGTATATGTTTTGACCGTCTGAATGAGTTTTCTTAAAATTTGAGAACATTTTTAGGCTAATTCTTTTAATTATCGTATACTGATTGATAAGGTTTAATTTCCGAATGATTCTTTATTTTAGTGATTTCCGTTAGAAATATCGCGTGTGGAGGATATTATCTGAGCTCTACTTATTAAATTATATATGTGTATTGGTCTTATATTAATTTCCATACTTAAATAAGAGTGTCCTATTTTAGATTCATTTAGAATATACTTTTATGAGAGTGCTCTGTTTTAGATTCTTTTTAAAAAAAAGTCTATTAATCAGCATGAAGAACATTTTTGCTCTAAGCGTGAAAAACTTTCAATGGGTGAATTAAAATAAAGCACACATACATACGCCCACACTAACGCACAAACACACATACATATGATTAGGAGTTAGATGTCAAAATGAAAACAAAAGTGTCATCGAAAGCGTCAGTGTTGTAAGTAAATACATATTGGTAAAGTAAATTTTCTACTTAATATTCGAAAGAACATTTTCGCCCACTCATATATATATATATATATATATATATATGCGTACATACTTGCCGAATTACCCGCACCTTGTTTCATGTCACACATTTTTGTTAGAAAATGATTGATTTTAAATCTTTGTTATAAATTTTGGAGAAAAATGATGCATTTCAATAGTATTTAATGATCTTGACGATGTGACCTCCATCTTCTGGCTTTCTCCCTCTATATTTTGGATAGGAGTCATTCCCTTGTTCAAATTTAAATTTAATCTAAATCAAAGGGAAAAAAATTCAGTGAGGGTTTTGTGCAAAAACAATTTGATCTAACCGCTTTGATATGTATTTGATGCAATACTTGATTGAATGAACTGATGAGCAGATTTCAACATTGATATGACTGTTGAATTGTCACAATAAATATGTATTGTAAGGCACTACCCACTGATTGGTGATTTCTTGCTCAACATGACTTCTATATTGTCTTATCTTGCCGATGTGATCTCCATCTTCTGACTTTCTCCTTTATTTTCGATAGGAGCAATTCCCTTACTGACAATTAAAATTAATTTAAATCAAAAGTAGAATAATTTCCAGTGGCGGGTTTGTGTCTACCAGGGACCCAATTTGATCAAAATTAAATATACTTATCCAAGTACCCTGGGTAATGTAATCTCAGAATATATATGGTTACTGAGTTCTATCTCCAAAATCTTTGGGGGTGTTCGATAACAGACAGACAGATAAAGGCTAAACTTTATATATATATAGATTGTAAAACACACGAAGTAAAAGCGAAGAATGTGCTAAAGAGGTGTACAAATTCTTTCGGGGGTCGCTACGCGTGTTTTACAATATATGCATGTTCTGTCACCGGAGGGTGGTGGATTTAATGATCCCGACACTGTCGAGCATAGTTTTTATTGCAACTTTACGTTCATTTGCCAATGTCGAATTCTTCCTGTGGCATTGAACACTTGATGGCTTCGCCTGAAAATTATTTTGGGTTTTTGTTGTTTTATTTCAAATAGCGTTAATGTTCTGGCTGTTCGATCTTTTACCGCATGGGTATTTTCCTTGTCCCGCTTCGCTTAATAAGTGTTTGCATATTATGAATACAGCAACTACAATTACCGACGACCTGGAGATTGAATAGAAGGACCATCTATGAAATATTGATAGTGACCGGTCAATTTACGCTAAAACGAAATATATATATATATATATATATATATATATATATATATATATATATATATATATATATATATATAAGTATTGTGAGACCATAACATACCTACAACATGGACTCTTCCAGGACTATATAAAGTATGCGATATAATACTCTAGAGAAGAGGAGGAAAGAGAGAGAGAGAGAGTATTCTAATACCGTAGTATCAGCCGCGTACGACTACCAATATTGGACACTAGCACATAGTAAGCTCCGCTTACACTTACACTATCTTTGTAACCTTTTTGTTTAATATATCTTTCTTACCTCTAATCCGGGTTCCGTGTTTTCCTTCCGTGGTCCCAACTTTGGGTCCACATCAATAAGATAATGATGTACATCTTTATATATAAAGATCTATGATAAAGTGCAAAAAAAATTCTTTATCGGACTAAATTTGTTACGCCGGCGCGACTGCACATGCGCACGAACGAGGCATGCATTGTTATTCTTTTTTCTTAGTAGAAATACCACATATTTTATACTACACACATAGACACACACCCGCGCGCGCACACACACACACGCCCGCGCGCGCACACACACACATACACACACATATATATATATATAAAGCCATCGACAGCCGGACTGTTTCGCTGTATCACACCTCATCAGTGTGGCTAGACATCCGATTGTCTCAAGCCGGGATCGAAACCCGGCAGATTGGGCACCCCTGAACTATCAGCGCCCGGTTGAGAGGAAGGGTAATTTTTACGTAGATATTCTTGGCATAAACACGCCAATGACCGATAGGGCTAAAAAAAAAAACAAAAAAAACTTTGCACTATTAGCAATATTAGTCATTGTTTACAAATTAGCGCTTTCTCTCAAGAGTGCTCGACCGGAATTAAATTTTCCGGGGGCGTATTTAATTGTAGTGTAGACTTGACCCGTCACTATATATATATATATATATATATATATATATATATATATATGACGTCACAGATTATATGTTCCCACCAAACGGAAAAATGAAAAAATGCTGTATAATCTAAATAAGAAAAAATAATTAAAAATTTCTTTGTCTGGTCATAGTCAACGAAATATATAGAACACCAGACACAGTTATTCTGCAACAGGACGAAGCATCCAGCATAGAGAGAATGCTCATCTGTAATCAGCTGCCAGCATATTTCAGGTGAATGGAAAAATGAGAAATTGCCTTAGCACCTGTTTTATGGAGAGCTCATATTTGGTAAGTGCTACCGACTGGAACCCAAGAAACGATTCAAGGATGTAAAAGACAACCTGAAAACTATTGAAAATATTATCAAAGAGCGTAGAAAAGAGATAGAGAATAGTTCCAGTTGGAGAAAGTTAGTTTTTGATGATTGCAATCTTTTTTAGGTCAAAACTTATAGCTCAGATGGGTTTTTAGCAAAGATGATACAGATGATGTTAGGTCTGAGCTTGTATTTAATATTTTCGGGAAGGTTTTTTTATTTCCTGTCGAATTTGATAGTCAACGAAGATCACATGAAAATCGGCAGTCTAATGCAGACCATTTGAATATCCTTTCTGACAGACTTGTATGGTACTTACATTATTTTTCCAATGTTCACCCAATACAATGCCCAAGTGCCACTCAAGGTAGAGGTCACTGTGTGGAATTTACTGTGTATGAAAGGACTAGCGTTACGGGTACAGAGCTGAAGGAGACTTAAGAAGAAACCGGAAACCCAATCCCAAACCAGGAAACAATGGATAAACCTCTACTCCTGGTCAAAGGACAGAGGAGGTGAGTGAAGCGTGCGACGCGCAAACCTATATAATATTATGTTAGTTGTGCGATAAAATTTGTAGGTGTGACGATGGGCTGAAGAGTCACATGAGAGTAGAGGAGGAGAAAGTCACTCTCAAGTCTCTTGGAAAGTCTTTCGTGAGTGACGTATGTAAAAATCTATACAGCAGTGAGAGACTGGTTGAATTCATCTACAGTCTCATGGCAACTCAGCTCAACGTTGAACAGATGAGCTTCTACCACACACACACACGCACACACACACACGCACACACACACATATATATATATATGGTAATATATAATGGTAATAT